ATATACCTGTAAATACAGCCATCATTACAAATTAATCTGCAAATTCTTCCAACAAGTGAATGTGAGTTGATAGTCTGTGGAATTCTCTTCCCCAGAATGTAATGGAAACTGTGTCATTGAAGTTATTCAATGCAGAGTTGAACAGATTTTTGACAGACAGTGGAATCAATGGCTTTTGGAAAGGCATACAAAAATTGGACTTGAAACCACAATCAGCCATCGTCTTATGGAATGGTGGTGCAGGCTCCCAAGAGCTGAATTGCCTAATCCTGTTTCTAAATCCTATATTCCAGTGCAGGAAGAGCAAGAGAGATTCCCTGTTTGCCACATGTTGGAAATGATGTTGAAGCATCGACCATCAATATCCATAGTTCAGGACTGCAACAAACATGTTAAAAAGTGAATGTTGCCTCAGCAATCCAGGCTCACTGAGTGAATGATAAGATTGCACCACTAGTGTGAGGATGCCTAAATGATTTGTCCATCTATTAAACATTTGTATTGTTATTGAAGTGGCATGATACACTGTAGTAGAACTGCAAGCTCATTACTCACCAACTTCACAATTTAGTGTGATATAATCAACAGTGTAGAAGATATTTAACAAGTTGTTACATTTAGATATGTCACATAAATTGCAGGAGGATGTTTTATGCCTGGACCAGTGCTGACTCATCAACGTGAGCTATCTATATTTGCCACATGAGAACCAGATTGTATTCTTCTAACAAAGATGCAATATTTGGAAGGAAAATGTACAATATTCTGTGGCTACTGACTTTGTTTTAGGTGCTATACATATTGATGCATATAAATGAGTGAAAGTTCAAATTCTAAATTATCCTCAATTCAATTTTTCTTTTAACAAGATTTCAGTTTTGTAAAACAACTTCATTTGTACCCAATGAAATGAATGACAAGATGAAATAAACTTTGAAAATGCAGAATTTTATGATGTTTATTGTTGTTTTTTGCAATTACAGTCTGGAAATTGTAATAATGGTTTTTGCGATCATGTTCAAAAGTTTTGGCAATCATCTTATCAAATGCCAAGGGAAATTCAAAGGATAATTTAGAATTAACTGTTTATGTTTTAAATGCAATCTAACTCTTCACGGACAATGTCAAAGTATAATAATCAGATATTTTGACCAAAGTCAATCTCCACTGTTGAGGTTAATTGTTTTGAGAGTGGGCCGTGGCACTAAAGTGCCTGGTCCACATGGGGTATAACATTCATATTTGATCGATTTCCTTTTAATTCCAAGTTTACTATGTGTGCTTATTTTATTCAAAAAATGTTGATCCCAATTGATGACTGTCATTCAAATTGGCAATTAAAAATGTAGAAATGTATGGCATTAACTCTCATCCCCTGTTGGTGCAGAGCGTCATATTGTCACACGATGGATCTTCACATAACATCATTGAGTGGTTAACACTGTTGCTGCCCGCTGTAACTTTTCCAGGGATGTTCTAGCTCCGGGAGATGCAGAGGGTACTCCCTCTCGCCGGTTATTCTCGCTGCGGCAGTCAGGCGCAGTTCTCCCACCTAAAGAGGTGGCCATTCCCATGGTGTGACTGCATTTCAGCGCCGCACGAAGGTCTCAACTTGGCCGGATTTCAGACCAATGTGGTTTCTGTATGAGCCTCTCAACTCTCCCAGGACCTCGGCCGGTGGCTGTTTGCTTTCTGTTCAGTTTGGGACTGAAGCCCTTCCTGTGGGCTCCATGCGCTTCTCGTAAATGTTACTCTTCTCAATCTCTCCAGTTCACATGCAACAGCATAACTTGGATCAAACGCCTTTGAAGCTAACTGATTAAAGAACCAGAATTTCACATCTTGAAAGATAATCCCAATCATATCAATCCAATGGAGTTTCTTCATTACGTGACGATGGGAGAGGGGTTAGATTGACTTTTATTCCAGGTTGCGACACATTAGCTACCACCTCTTCACTTTACTTCCTTCCCTTTCTAATTCCTCAGTATCTCAGATACTATGCCATGAAGTGTTGAAGACTCTAGATAGTCTACTCGAGTCAGGTATAACCCCAGACAGAAAGAATTAGCAACAAACGTCACTGAACAATGGGACAAGGCTTACAGAGAAAGTGAAACGCTGGATTCTTTTACAAATATATAGATCACTTAAAAAGACATTGGTACAGGTGTGACTTTATTGGTAATTGATAGTGTGGTTGGGATGCTTGGGCAGGTGGCAGAAGATGGATTTCTGAATATATACGTTTCGAGTTAATAGCCTCCCTGAGTATCAAAGTTTGCCATTATGTACATTCTGTGGATTCCTCACTATGGTCGGTATGGACGAGTTGGACCCAAGGGTCTGTTTCCGTGCTGGATGACTCTATGACTTCATGTCCATTTATCCGTTAGCAGATTCCTGTGGAAAAAACGTGTCAGATAGTAGTGGCCCTTTTACACACATTGCATAAAATTTACAGTTCATGAACAGTCCATTCGGTGCAGCTGATTTGTACCGGCGTTTACACGCTCCAGAAATCTTGTTTCACTCTATTTAACCCTACCTGCATTATATTATCTTTTTTCTCTCTCTATCTAATACACTTAATTGGCGTCTTCGTAAACCCATCAATACTGTTCGACTCAGTGACCCAATATGGTAGCAATTTTCACAGTGACCCTGTCTGACTGAATCTTCTCTTGCATTATGACTGTCTTAGAGTTATGGTCCCTAGTCCCTAGACAAATAGAAGCATTTAGTCTGTCAAACGCCTTCATGGCTTTAGTGAAGTTTAATAAGTCAGCCCTCAGCCCTTTCTCATGTAGAGGAGACATTCACACTGTTAGTGGCTCTTGAGAGTCACAATTTTTCAGTCCTGGCATTATCCTTGCACATCGTTTTTGCACCTTGTCCAGTTTTTCTTTATCTTTTATATAACATGTAAGTCAGAAGTGTGCACTCCATTCTAAGTGCAACTGAACCAAAGTTATATAATATATAATATATATGCCGTTCTGAGGAAGGGTCACCGGACCCGAAAAGTTAACTCTGTTTCTTCCTTCACAGATGCTGCCAGACCTGCTGAACTTTTCCAGAAACTTTGTTTTTGAGCCAAAGTTATGTTTTATATTAAGATTATTTATCTGCTTTTCAATTGCCGTTCCCTGAAAGTGTATCCCAATGCTTTTTGAGCTTTTTGTTGTCCCATTGACTTATCCTATCAGCGTTCATTTACCAATTTGTGAATATGACCTCTATATCTCGGTTTAGAATCTACTACTACAAATAATTTCTAATCCCTTTATTCTTCTTATCAAGTTGTATCACTTTTTACTTACTAATATTAAATCTCATTTATCACGTGCACGTTTATCATTCGGCATGTGTACCCCTATTCTGCATGGGGTGTTAGTATCTTGTATTTTGGTGCACATTTCCTGGCTATCCCTCTAATGTGGGGACATCTGCAAATTTTGCAATAAATGTCAGATTTCGAGCCAGGCTGCGTTGTCTAACACGTGAACAGCAGGACTCCCAGCACTGTTTCCTGCAGCCATCGCTTCTAACTTCTGTAAGTCTGAGTGACTACGTTTAACCTCATCTCTCTCGATCTTCTGTCTTTCTAAGTTAGGCTGCTCTCCATTCTGCTACTTAACCCCTGAATTCATACGTTCGGACCTTGGTGAAGGCCTGATCGATGGCCTTTTAAAGATATCTCTTTATATTGCAACTACTACATGAATGTGCGCTCTCCCTGTTACCTGTTTCAAAGAATCCAAGGAGATTGTTCGAGAATGACTTTCACTTGTGAAATCCATGTTGACACGGTATCATATTTTCGGTTTCGAGGTTTAATTTCTTGCATCACTGAGTGATGACCACCAACATTAAACTGACTAATCTCGAGTTCTGTGACTTGGTTGTACATCCTTTAGTAAATATAATATTAGCTGTCCTCCGCTTCTCGGGCACGTAAGTGTTTTTTTAAACAGAATATACATTTGGAGAAATGCCTCTATTAGTTTATCTTGCATGTACCAGTCAGTTTCGCCAGTACATTGACCTGACTGTCCATATTCGAATACATACATACATAAATGGATACATGTATGTGTTACCTATAGGACTTTCGAGTACATTCGTGCAAAAGTTTCTGGCCTTCTAAGTAAATGGGATTTCTGAGTACGATTACTGCAGTTTAAATTCGAAGAGGCAGAGATAGGCTGACATTTTATGAGAACTGTGACTAAGTACCCTGACCGTAAATTCAAAGGGCGATGAGCAATGCTTAAGAAATACCCATTAAGCTGGAACATATATAACCTTTTAAAAAATGAATGTTTAAGACAGCCAGGAAATGCTGTCACAACCACCAGCATGAGAATATCTAACGCGAGTGCAAGCCTGTCCCAGAACATATTAATGAATGTATTCCTGACTTGATTAGTACTTATGTGTCTCGATCCCCGTTATAAGCAATTCTATTGACAGTACGATGTTTTATTACAGTCTGTCCATACCGACAACGTGTAACACTACTACTGCCTGTGGTAAGTGGAATGCATTTACCTCCTTTTCTGTTGCGACAGTAACAGGACATTTAGCAAATCAACCGAATACAGAAGTTGTTACCCCTAAGCTTAAAATGTTTCTATTTTGATTGATGTTTTTAATATGTGTTCAAATTAATTAATGCGTGAGAATGTTGTGAAAGACGGAAGACAACAAGGGAAGTAATCTCATTGGGTAACCACGTCGGTATGAAGCTTTTGTCCCTTATCCAAATTATTTTTTTTTGGGCAGATCAAACAAAAATCAATGTGTAGTGTGCAAATGCAGAAGTAATATATTTACAATACTGAACACGCACGTACACGGGCAGATATATGCGTGAACATGTTGATCATTGTAGGTCAATTCCACAATGTAGTTGAAAGTGACCACGAGTTTGTTAGTTTGGGAAATTAACCACGGCAAGATTATTCAACAATCCCGCCTTCGGTTTAGTCTAAAATTAGATCAACATTGGCAGTTTGTGAAGCGCGTGGATTGAAACAATAACAACACAAACCCCAGACTGGAAAAAAAGACTTGCGGCTTAAAATAGGCCATCGGTGTTATTTTGACAAAACAATGCCAGGTGCGTTTATTTGTACAGTTTGTATGTTTTCCTGTTTTTCTCTGTACTTTTTTGTGATGTCACTTCGGGAATGAGCACTGTAAAGGTGGGCGCCCAAATGTTAAATCTTATTCTTAGTAACAATGGAAAATAAAACGGAGGTGTCTTATTGATTATTCTTCGCTAGTATTTTGCTTGACCTTCTTTTCAGGAACAAACTGGTAAAATTGCAAAATTCCTCTATTCGCTCTGTCACTGCGATGTAATTTCAAGTCATGGTGAAATTGCTTTAAAACTGACAGCCGGCCGCGTTCTACTTAGGCATGGTGTGTTTTGTAAATTGCACTTTTTCTCACAACCTGTCCCAGCGGATATTACACTCAGAACAAAGACAGTGTATAAAGATATCAAAAAGAACTGTCTTGTACAGTGATTTATTCTCAATAGAAAGGCGTGGCGCTAAGAATGACCATTTGATCTTCCGAGTGAGCCCACGTTATTGTGCAGTTTCTAGCTCACTATCTTCTCATCATCTTATCTCGATCTGTACCCAGAAACGGCATCAGCTCTGAATTCTATGGTTCCAATTAGGTCCACACAGTGGAACAGGCATAAAAAAGTGAGTGCATTTTCAGAAACTCCCACTCTAACCACTCTTGATAACGAGCAATTTTGTTATGTAACCTGGTCATTTCAAGAGTTTCGAGAGTGTGAATTAGTGGAATATGCTGTGTGTATGTCTGCTGGTGTTGGCGGCGGGAGTGGGGTCGAATCAAAGACACCCGATATGGTCCAGCTGCCTTAGCAGGTACACATGCTGCATCAACTGGAGCTTTAAAAGCTAATAGCATTAAGGACCATCTGCCACTTTCCAACACCTATCAGAGTTCTAATAGAAGCGAACGGACAGAACTCTTGCGGTACAGAGGTGGTATCCCCATCTCTTAGACTAGGAGACTTGGATTAAAGTCCCACCTGCTCTAGAAGTGTGTGCTAGCAACTCTGAGTAGGTTGATCAGATTTTTAAAAAAAGAATAAAAATGAGAGTTACTGTGGTGCAGAGGTCATGCCCCTACCTTTGGGACAGAAGACCTGGGTTTAAATCCCCACCTGCTCCAAAGGTGTGCCATAACACCTTTGAACAGGTTGATTAGAAATATTAGAATAATGACGATTATAAATTGGTTCATATTTTCAAACTGTCTACAAACTCTTCACCTCGTTTAATTTGGTTAGTGAGATATGTAAAATGCTGCAGCTTAATGCAGTTATTTTTATATACTGCGCATCAAATATTTAGTTAAGAATTCATTTCTTCCACACTATCTATATTGAGCTTTTTCCATGCATTTAAATAATGGATATTGTGCACAAATCTATCTTTCTTTCTCCTATTCATTAAAATCCGAATTGCAGTACCTAATCTGAAACAAGTTTAGTCAATTCTGCAAGTATTGGCAACTACAGGTCTTTCCCAAATCCCAGATCTAACTCTGAAAAGTTAAGCGAATTTGGGGGGTGGGGAATACGCCAAACCAGTTGCACTGTCATGCATGTCACCCTATGATGAACTTGAAGCTGAGCGTATGTTTGAGACATCCAGGTAATTATCGCAGTAGAGAGAACGCGCGTTAGGAGCCAACGCGGAAATGTTGGATTTGTTGTACTTTTCTCTGTCTCCTCCCCTCCCGCCTCACGCATTTCCACAAGGAAATGACTTCTCCCCCTCAGAATGGAGTGATAAAATGTGACGGATGAAAAACAACAAAAGCACTTCTTGGAAATTAAACTGGCAACTGGTTGAAGCTCAGATAAACTGATGTGACCAGAAGAAAAAGCACCGAAAAGATAACAAATAATTCAATGTTAGAATTTCTAACCACAGACAAATTCTTCCGTGTGAACAACTGGGAAACAAATGTGTCATGTTATTTTCTCCAATTAGGCGAAATTGAAGTCCACATCTTGACAGAAACGAATGCTTCCAGGGGACAGGGATGCTTTGCAATGGAAATATAGTCTGGTATATTACCGTCACTGGGGGAATGGGGTTTTGCGGAGTGAAGCCCGAGGGATTGGGTGGGGAGGAGAGGGGATTGGGGTTGATGGAACGCCGGTGGTACACATTTTGCAACAGGTGGATGACCGGTTCATGAATGGACCCTTGGAGAAATGCCCAGGAGGTGGCGGTACTGAATTGGTTCTTAATACAATCCAGTTAAGTGTTTGCACCACGCTTGCATATAATTGCAGGTGCATCTCCAAAGCATACATTCAATATATCCATATATTCCGTATAACTCTGGAACTATCTAAACTGGCGCCACTTGGTCAGAAAAACACACGAATGCTTGTTAGAAAACAGAACTTCACCCCCAACATTGTCATGTCCTGCAATTATTTCCAGAAGACATTTTCCTTTTGGCTAGGGGTTATTATCCCGAGTTCCACCCAATGACAATTATCCCTGTGTCTAGCAGCATCTGTGGTGAGAAAACGTTTTAGATCCAGTGACCCTTCGTCAGGTCAGCCTGTAGGCGGTTCACTGGACCCAAAACGGCTGACTCCACTCTCTATCACAGATACTGGCAGACCTACTTAGGGAACTTCTCCAGCAACGTCTGTTGCTTTTGTTTTGTTTCAGATTTCCAGTATCCGCAGTTCTTTTGTTTATTATTATCCCTGCATGTTAACCGGACAGCCGATCTGGCTGCAGCTGTGGAGCCTTATTTCTATAGCGAGATACGAGTGGGCATCCTTCTTTGATCCTCTTCCACTGCGCCCCTGGGGGACGCTGGGGGTAAATGGCAGAGGTGGTCTCACTGCCTGACTTAGGAACCAAGATCCCTGAGGTTGGTGGTTCAACGTTGCAAACTCCTCCGAAGTCATTGGTGACTTTCACTAACCCAAATAGGCCATTTTTTGCAACACTTTAAAACTGCCCAGGGAAAGGTAAACTAGATGTTTGCAGTGACAGGGCAGATAACTGATAATCTGAGGAAATATTTGGAAGCTTTCAATTGACTAAATCACTGCACTATAAGATTGACTCCGTCCCTTTGATATATAATTTATGTCAATTTCATTTCCAAGGCAATTGCACACTGGGGTATATGAATAGTGTCCAATTCTGACTGAAAATTTGTGTGACTGTATTCCAGAGAAATGTTATGCGTAGTTTTTCCACTGCTCAGGTAAAAAAAAAGACACACACACCCCAAAAAAAGCCGATCTGTCAAATTCTTCTGACAAACAAATACGTTAACAATGTTTCGTACTCTGAAATGGAGCAATGTTGTGCGCCGCTGGGGATTTTTCTTTCCTCTTGTCTGTGACACTTCTGTAAAAACAGCCTGTGATTGATTAGCAGCAGTCCCGCCTCCCAGCACTCTTGTATTTAAGAGAAAGTTCCTTTTCAGTGCTTGTGCCGAGTGGATCTGCTTCATTGTAACCAGTCAATCAAACTTGAAACACAGCAAGTCTCCAGGTAAGAGAGAACTGCGCCAAGATTCCTCCTGCTAACTGGATGACTTCGCTGGGAGTTCTTATTGCAAGATACAGCCGAGTTTTGTTTTAGGATCAGACACTGATGGGGTGACTGTCAGCTACTCCGCAACATTTAAGGCTTCTTTTTAAATTATTATTATATAAAAATAGCTTGGCTTCGTGCGTGCACTTTAATCGGATTTCAAATGATCGTATGTTTAGGTGGAACTGCTATCTGTTAAGGGGTGTCCCATGTGATTTTGTTTTAAAATGCTCTGCAGGTTTCGTACAACTTTTCCTGCAGTGGATGTCCTTGTATGAACAAGATTTTATTCACGCGCCTTAAGTCTTGACAGTAGAAGGTTGCATGTGCCTTTTTATTTCATGAGTCTCTCTCTCTCTTTCTCTGTGTGACATATTATCTAGACATGAATATGGATTCAGACTGCAATATGGCTCCAGTGACTTCCGGAAACGGCAAACTTCGCCAGTGGTTGATTGATCAGATTGATAGTGGGAAATATCCCGGGCTGGTCTGGGAGAATGAAGACAAGACGATTTTCCGCATTCCTTGGAAACACGCTGGGAAACAGGATTACAACCGAGAGGAGGACGCGGCACTCTTCAAGGTAACAGTTCACCTCATCTCTCGAGTTTCTTCGCTTTCTCTCTAACTTCTGATTTTTCTCTTTCTCTCATGGGGGGAAGGTGTTAATTTCCTCTTTTAAGAAAAAAAAACTTTAATGTCAGAGCCTTTTTTTCCGCTTTTTCTTCGATGTAATTGTGCGTGTGATTTAATTGACCTGCTGCCTAAATCCGTGGGTTCGAATGAAATTATCTGCGTCTCACCCTGACCGCTACATACCAGCTTCCCCTCCACGTTCACTGTGTTCCTTGTTTACTGCAGACCTCCCTGTTTCTACAACGGCTCTCTTATGCTGTCTTGTGACCCCATGTGATCTTGCACATGTCATCAAAGCGGTGTCGTGGGAGAGCCACCTCCAGCCACTTGTGTTGTATTTCGAATAAATGAGGCATTCGGACAAATGAGGCATTACCATTTAAGTCGTCACGATAAGCCCACAGTGTTAGGCGATGGTGGTGGAGATAGAGACCGGGCCACCTTCTCCCACATGTGTCTATCACCCACGGTTCGACCGAGTATGGAGCTGTAAAACCAGGTTGCTTTCTATTACACGGTGACTTGCACAGAACTGCCTTTACTTTCAGGAAAGCTACAACGAGACTTTAGTAGGCGTGCATGAATAATTGTGGTCGAAGTTCACATTTTGTGGTAGAACTGGACAACAACACCAGTAAACCTTAGTCTTTTGTTTCAGGGAAACTGCATCATTACCAAGAAAGTGTTTGAGCATTTCTGAAGACATTGGCCTGTGAATTTTAAAAAGTCATTGAAGTGACTCATTGCACATACAAATACGAGATATTATAATGACTTATTCCCACGGGTCATTATAGTTTCTTTGCAAATGGGGTCACAGGAGAAAGCTTGTTTCTAATTAAAACATACCTGGGGCTTTCCCGAGCTTCCAGTGAATTATCATTTCAAAATGCATGGCTATTTGATCAGTATGATTTGAGCAAAGTACATTTTTGTTCCACTTATATACCTAATCACACTATTGTTTGAAGCCATGTTTTCAGCAAATGTTTGAGTCTCAAGACCTGGTTTTGCTTGGATAGTACCTAACAGTTTGAACAATGTTAGTACACTGTTAATGTCAGGTTGTAGAAAATTGGGATGTGTAATTTCCCAAAGTGACAATGGCCCATGATGATACCACACATTTTTGTGTTTATAGTTTGTCTCACCAGTTTCACATTTATTATGGAGCTCTATAGAAGGTGTCCTGTCTCTGGGATATAAACCATGGGTATATGTTCCATTGCAGGACTTGATGGCCAAGGAAGGATTGTTTGTGCTGTAATTCAACATTTTTAGAATTAGTCTGCTAATTTCCCCACTATCCACCAAACAGAAAAATGTGTGTATAAAGGTAACAAATATACATGTTAACCCCCTCTTTACATTAATTATAGCCTGTCAGTTAACTATCACTCACCATTAACTGGTGCATCTCCCACAGCAATGCTGCTACCAATCAGAATCTACTCATGAACCAATTAACACTCATATCATATAGTATAACTGTAAGTGTTCCTTTTAAATTGTATTACAAATTATACTATTGAGTGCACAATAAAATGTTTACTTTTTTCAGCAAAACTTAATTTCTCTATTACCAAACAATTAATCATTGGTTATCTATCTTCATCTTAACTATCATTTAACTTGGAATACACTGCATCCCTTAATTACTCGTGTATATAATGCTTTTGAATGAATGATGGAAGGTAAGAGACAGTGGAGAAAATACTTTCAAATTAAAATGAACGATCTATCTTTTTAAAAAAAATACTTAATCTATTCATAATCACAGTAGTTTTCAGTATGCTGAAGCATTTAACTCTTTGCATTTTATGGGAGTAAAGTTTCTACATCCAGCATGCCCATTATTTGTCTTGTGTACATCCTGGTAAATAATTTATCCTACTGTTTTTATACAGAAACAATGTTTATGAAATGGAGTGCATGTCGGTGCTTAGCTAACTCATTCATTCTTACCAAATCATTTCTCCCAAGGCTTGGGCACTTTTCAAAGGCAAATTTCGTGAGGGAATTGACAAGCCAGACCCCCCAACATGGAAGACCAGACTGAGATGTGCCTTAAACAAGAGCAATGATTTTGAGGAATTGGTTGATCGCAGTCAACTTGACATCTCCGATCCATACAAAGTGTACAAAATTATTCCAGAAGGAGCAAAAAAAGGTATTTGTTCCCACTAACATGCTCTTTCAATTAAAGTTTTTAAAATCTGGGAGTGTAGAATGGATAAGATTAAACAAATATAAATCATAACGTCTTCATACCATCTCTGGATAACTTAAGATTATGGGAAATTGCAGAAATTTCCTTACGTATTTAAAATTCCTACCTCTTTATTCATCCTAAGATTTTACCTTTTTTGTTCAAGGAGGATCAAAGCAAATGAGTATGGAAGGTCCACCGATATCAATTAACCACCATTCGTACCCTACATATCCATCGATGCCACCCCAGGTAAGTGAGACCCCTGAATTTGAAACATCCCAGATGGCAATTAACATTCTCTACTTCTTTGAGTGAAAATGTAGAACAATCAATATTTTCTTATGATTTTCAGATACCCAACTATATTGTACAACATGAACGTGGCTGGAGAGATTATGAACAGCCTCATCCAGAACTCTCTTATCAGTGCCCAACTGTGCCATTTCCTCCACGAAACCACCACTGGCAAGGACCTGGTTGTGATAATGGTAAGAATGGTTTGTAATAGCTTGCATAATGGAATCCCACTGAGATTAAAATGATTAGGCTATCAGTGTGCAAAAACCTGTGCTTCCTCACTTGTAGGACTGATTCTAAGTGCAGACAACTATCTTCACTTCATCCTGAAAACAATGTAAATGATCTAACCTGCAAAAACCTTTCTTCTCATCCTGCTGTAACTTTCTTAAGACTGGCTTCTGAATAACTCTACCAATGAATTCATTCAGCTTGTCACTCTCATTTTTACTTTCAATATATGCAAGGTGGAACAAAAGAGAGGGGAGCCAACTCACAGGATTAGTAGGATCTTTTTAACTGGCTTTAACAAGTTACTCTTTGGTCCAGTCATTGCCAAATTAAGTTATGTGTCAGCAGTGGCTTAGTTGGTAGCACTCTTGTCTCTAACTTGGAAAGTTGGACTTTCGGATCACAGCTTGAACCTGAGAATAGAAAGTCAGCATTCTAGTGCCGCACCATTGAAGGTGTTGTCTTTTGAATGATTGTATTAAATTGTGGTGCCATCTGCACACTTAAGTGGGCAGATTTAAAAAAAAACTCAAAGCACTGTTTTGAAGACGGAGCAGAGTGCTAACACCAGTATCCTGGCCAAAACTAATCTTTCAACCAATACCAGAAAAGTAGATAATCTGGTCATGACCATGTGGCTGTTTATGGGAGCTAGGTGTGGTAAATTTGTCAACAACAAAAACAGAAGTTGCTGTAAAAGCTCAGCAAGTCTGGCAGCATCTGTGAAGAAAAAAATCAGTTAATGTTTCTGGTCTGGTGACCCTTCCTCAGAACTTGTTTGCTAGGTTGCAACAGTGACTATACTTCAATGACTCTTAAAAATCTTTGGAAATCTGTGGTCATACAGTACCTAATTAAACCATACCCAACTCACTTGCATATGTATTGGGATAAAGTATTTTCCCTAACAAATCAAAATTTGTGTTTACTCCTAATGTAGAACATATTGCTGCTGACTCATTGGAATGTTAACGGAAGAAATCAGTCAGCCCTCCGAAGTTAATTATGCAAATCTATTGCAATTAAATCATTGAGTTGTACAGCAAGGAAACAGACCCTTTGGTCCAACTCATCCATGCCAACCAGATATCCTAATTAATCTCGTCCCATTTGCCACTATTTGGCCTGGATCCCTCTTAAACCTTTCCAATTCATGTACCCATCTGGATATCTATTGAATGTGTAATTGTACCTGCCTCCACCACTTCCTCTAGCAGCCTATTCCATGCACGCACCACCCCTTACATGAAAAAGTTGCCTCTTGGGTTCCTTTTAAATCTTTCCTCTCTGCAACCTCCACAAATAGCAAATATGTTTAACAAAATTGAAAAGCACATTTAGTTAATATAACTGCTGCATTACTTTTAAATTTAGACAGACAGGTCATGCAATGCCATTATAATTGTTACAAACTGCATTTTAAACCAGTGTTTTTCTCATGGTTTCAGGTTATCAAGTGACTGGATCATTTTATGCTTGTGCACCTGCTGAATCACAAGCACCTGGTATTTCAATAGAACCTACTATGAGATCTGCTGAAGCACTGGCCCTTTCAGGTAAGTCAATGCATGTGGCATTTACATAATAGCAGTACTTAATCCATGCCTTTGTCACCTCTAGACTTGACCATTAAATGTTATAATTATTGCCTCCCATCTTTCACCCGCTATAAACTTGAGTTCCTCAAACTTCTGAAGATCAAATTCACAACCCAATCCAATTTCACCCATCATTTCTATGCAAACTGAACTGTATTGACTTTTGACTTGCCAATGACTCGTCAGTAAAACCCATACCTTTTTGTATTTCAAAACCCTCCATCACCTCACCTCACCTGTCAGAATCTCTGTCACCTGCTCTAGCCTTGGACATCCTGAGATTGCTGTTTATCACCAACTCTGGCCTCTTGCACCTTCAGCATTTCAATTGTTTCACCATTGCTTCACATGCCTTCAGCTACCTAAATTCTAGTCTCTGGAATTCCCTCTGTAAACCACTCCAGAATTCTAACTCTTCTGTTCCATGATGCTCTGTTAAAGCTATTGTTTGTCCAACCTTTTGATCATCTGCCCTACTATTCCCTTATGTGGCTCAGTTTCAAATTTTGTTTAATTAGGCACCTGTGACATATCTTAAGATGTTTCACTACGTAAAAAAGGTTTCATCATTTTAAAATTGTTCATAAAAATATATTTCTTTATAATCATCTTGCCTATTATGAATAGAATCTAGAGTTACAATAAATAGTCAGTTTTGCTTTGAGTAGTTAAATAGGTTTACATATTTTAACTTACCCAGATTTTGCAAACTGCAAAATAAACCCCAAATAAAAACTCAGTTTAATGAATTGAATCCTGCAGGTTTATACAAAAAAGACTTGCAAAATAGCCTGATATTGCAACAATGTAGAATGGCTTGAGGCCACAGTGATCAATAGTTCTGGAATAGCAACTAATAAGATAATTATAATAAATACATCAATTTAAATCATCTCCAGTTTTGAGTTGTTGTGCAATAAAATGTAAAAGGCATTTTTGGGAGCAGTAGTCTGGTGGGTTTCTCTTCTTTCTTACAACAAAGCCTATTGTTATGAATTAACCCAAGTTTGATAGTTCAAACAATTAAAAATATTTCTTAACATTTAGCAACTGTAATTTTATGAAAGTGGAATTTGGGTTGTTGTGTAAAAAATGAGGGACAATATTTTCATCAACAGGTGTGTTTACACTGCTTACAATGTGTACAATTAAGTTTCCGCTACAATAACTAAGTTGCTTGTAAATAAATACAGTAACTGAGTGCCTTGAAAATGCAATTGTCATATTTTTCTGGCCAACTTCCTAGATTTCTTTACTTGCTACATTGGCACTGTGATCCCCTCTAGTTGTTCCACACATGATTAATTGCATTTCATTTTGCCCATTAGCAATTTTTAAATGTGGATCAGCGCAGTCAAAAATCTGACAATAAAGCCACTGTCCTTGTGTCCACTGTTAAATCTAGCCATGCGTCCAACCATACAGTGGATGGCAGACTCTTCAGTTGGGTGCAGAAAAAGGGATGAAAGCTTTCTAAATTGGACAAGTGTGACCTCTGATCCTGCCTGGTATTTCTAAGACTTCCTTCCGGCCATCTCCAATCCCTTGAATATCCCATCCTTTCCCCAACCATGGCCACAAGATTGGCCTGAAGAATCAAAAATAACATAGAAGATGAAGAAGAAGGGAAGGATGATTTCATTCATGAACAAAAGACAAGAAGATAAAAATTGAAAACGAAAATTGAATCAAAGTACAAGCAGCCAGAAAATGAAAAGATTGACTTGATAAGAGAACCATGTGTTGAGAATAAACAACTCATTTTTAAAAAAAATTGTAAAGGAGGGAAAATTATTCAGTGAAGAAAGAAAAGCTAAAAGAGGAAAAAAAAAAAGAAGAGGTGACAGGTGGAAGACAAAAGTGATGTCGGAAGTTGCCAAATGTAACTTTGGATTTTTGAAAATGGACTTGGGAGTCTTGCTTTGGACTCCTTCAATCATAATATTATTCTTAACCCTGCTTATGTCAAAAATTGGCTATGCTGCTTTTAGAAGTCACCAGGATCTTCTGAATTTCAGAATGTGGGTTCTGCCTTTCGAACTCTGAAAAGCTACTTGCCGTTGCTTGATGCTAACGAAGCTGCATATTTCAATATGAACTGATTGATTCAGTCAGTCTGTGTGGACAAAAGACTTGGAGCTTACAAAGGAACATGTCCAAAAGCCTTGCAATTCCATTATTTTTTATTTGCTGAGAATTATGTCAATGACTTTCGGCTTGCTGATTATACTGAACACATCAATTTGATTTGCTTTTGCAGACTGTCGGCTACACATTTTTTTGTATTACCGAGAAACCCTGGTGAGAGAAGTGACAACAACCAGCCCTGAAGGTTGTAGAATAGCCCACGGCCAAGATGATAAGCTATTTGCAGCTAGCAACATAGATCAGGTGCTGTTCCCTTATCCAGACAGCAATTCACAACGTAAGGGTATTGAAAAACTACTCAGTCACTTGGAGAAGGGAGTCCTGCTGTGGATGACGCCTGATGGTCTCTATGCCAAACGATTGTGCCAGAGCAGAATCTACTGGGAAGGACCTTTAGCACCATACAGTGACAGACCTAACAAGCTGGAGAGAGACCAAGTCACAAAACTTTTTGACACACAACACTTTTTAGCAGGTAACAGAGAGGATATGTATTTTGTTAGCTATTATGTATAATTACTATCCTAGAAAAATTGCAAAATGTATAACACAGTCATACCTTTGCAAGTTTGTTTAGCCGTTAATGTGATTTCAATGTTTCAACATATTTTTATAAGTGTAGCAAAAGGAGAGATTTTGTAAATTGTTACTTAATATTCAACTTTTTAAAATTTGGAAATATTTAATTTAAAATTAAAATATATCAATTTGAAGGTTATTTGGGGATGAATAGGTAACCTATGAATATCCTTAACTGTACTAAATTGAAGACAAGTAGTTAGCTTTTGAAAACTATTGAACAGATAGTATTTAAAATAGGTAACTTAAGGCTAATGAACTGCAAGAATAAGAGTTATCTTCTTTCCTCAGAACTACAAAGCTATGCACACCATGGCCGGTCACTCATGCCCAGGTTCCAAGTCGTGTTCTGTTTCGGTGAGGAATTTCCAGATCCGCAGAGATCAAGAAAACTTATCACAGCACATGTAAGTTCCCAATAACATGAAAATATGAAAGCAACAAACTCCTAATTGAAGTAAAACCATACATTTAGGCATTTAATGCTGAGAATTAGTGAGGTGCTAAGCAGAGTTCTAGCAAATAGTCATTTTAAATGTATGATCTATTCTCAGTATGAGGATATGCCAAATAACTGTCACTCTCACACTCCTGAAAAGTTGCAATCATCCCAGTCATTATTTTTTGTATACTTTTCTTTCACTTTTGTTGAACCAGTGGACAGTTCCTCTTTATCTAGTCATTTCATTAACTCCAAAGAGAAGTTGCAAATAATCACAATGTAAATATTATCAATGACAGTTTCTAAAGATTGTTCATGGATTTGGGGATTTGGGGCTTTGGTAGTAATCAAAAGAAATGCAGGTCTAACGTTTGTCAAAGCTTTAAGCTAAAATGCGCAGAAGTCTCTGCTGATGGTGGGGACCCTTGACTAATGGCAATGCAAATCAGAAAATTGTAGACAGGCTGTTCATTAATGCCTGGAAGGTCATGTGTAATGTACAGCCAGATTTCCAATTTGTGCTGCTTACTGATGAGGGTTTTCTTGCTGGCAGTTCAGACCTGTTAAATTATCCATGGGGGAGGTATCTGACATTTGAATGTTGATGAATCCATATGCCATTAATTTGGTGCTACATTTTACATTATTTCAATAGATGACTTAACTCATGTATATTACTCATGTAAACAAATTATTTTCAATTATAGTTGTATAATTAGAATGAATTAACATCACTCTAAAACCAATATGATTGGCAGCTAATGGTGACACAATGGGAAGAATAGACATGTAATTTTGTCTACAATCATAGTACATATTTATTGGGAAGAAACTAGTAGTAAAAGTGTATTTGGGTAACTGATATGTGTGGAAGTAACACAATATGAACATGGGTGGTTTGCTCTGTGTGAGACATTTGGCCACTGAATTATAACGGTTGCATGATTCTGTGCATAACTTATTTCAAACAGAAATTATTTCATTATTAGCATGACATACAAATTGTTCACTTTTAAAGATTTGCTTTCAGAAGTTGTTAATGGTTGCGTGTATCTATTGTGATAGGGGACTTGAGAATCAAAAATCGCCTCTTCACTCTTAGTAGCAATTGAAGGTCAATCACCTCAGTTCCAAGACATCACTGCAGGAGTTCCTCAGGGAAGTGTCCTAGGCTCGCCCATCTTCAGCTACTTCCTCAATGACCTTCCCTTTATCGTAAGGTCAGAAGTGGGGATGTTTGCTGATGACTACATGATGTTCAGCACCATTTGCAATTCCTGGATAGTGAGGATACCATTCCATGTCCAAAGGCAGCAAGATCTGGACAATAGCCATGTTTCAGATGACAAGTGGCAGGTCATATTTGTGCCACACAAGTGCCAGGCAATGGCCATTTCCATAAAGAGAATCTAACCATCTCCCCTTGATATTCAATGGCACCACCATCACTGAATCCTGCACTAACAACATCCTGGGGGTTACCACTGACCAGAACTGAATTGGATTAGTCATTTAAGTACTGTGGCTGGTCAGAGGCTAGGAATTTTGCAACATGTAACTCTCACCTACTTACTCCCCAAAGCCTATGGACCACATACAAGGCTATGGTCTGGAGAATTCCCAACCGTTTCCTGGAAGAGTAAGAGTGCAGATCAAACAATAGTCAAGAAGTTTGACACCATCCAAGGCGAATGTATTTGCACATTCCACTTAATTAGCACTACTTCCACAAACATTCAGCCCTGCACAACTGATAGTACATGCTGTTGCTATGGAGTATCTACAAGATGCACTGTAGATATTCATCAAGGCTGCCTAGACAGCATCTTCCAAACCCATGGCCCACTGCTACTTGAAGGACAAGGGTGGTAAGATACATGGAAAAACCTCCAATTTCATTGCCAATATCGTCAACATCCTCACCTAGAAGTATATTGCTGTTCCTTCAGTATCACTGGGTCAAAATCCTGGAACTTGCTTTCTAACAGCATGTGAGTGTATCTACTCCAAATCATTGCAGCTGTTCAAGAAAATAGTTCTCCACCACTTTCTCAAGGGCAATTAGGGATGAGCAATAAATGCTGACAATGCCCACGTCCCATGAATGAATAAAAGAAAATCATAAAATTGATTCTATGGAACCTTATAAACTGCCAGGTCAATTACAAGTAGAGCTTATTTTCTGCCAGATAGATTTGTTAGAATGATAATGCAGATAATATATCGTAATTGATAATTAAAACAATGACACTAGTAGAGTTGCATCAAAAATAGATTTATCCCTGCAATTCTGACAGGTTGGTGAGAAACTTTGCAATTTTCAAAAATTGCAAGTGCTGCAATCTTTTACTAACCCTGAAAGTCTTCACAGTGATCTCCCACAAGTGACATATACCTGCCTTGAGCAGATACGTCTTGCATTATTGCTTTGTCATCTGTCTTTTTTTTTGTGTAGAATACACACTATCCTAGAAGGTTAGCTTTCAAACATGTATATGTTACTTGTTTCTCATTGCACCTCTTTTTCTTCTTTATTGGCTGTTATGTACCCTTCTAAATGTATTCACCCTCCTTTGACCCCCACCACGTTAACCTAAACCCCCTGTCTTTTTAGGCTTCTCTTAGGACACAACAATCACCATCATTCCTGTTTTTAGCTGACTATTGAGATATATAAGAGAGACTTAGATGAAGTCTGTCTATTCAGCTTTCCTGCCCCAATCACTTGTGGAGATGTTTGGTCAGTGGGAGATTTATATTGACTGAGATCAGAATGACACCTGGATTTGGTATCAGATACTGGTGATTTCTCCATGCTATCCCTGTGACACCAGTTTTTTTTTTTTATTTACTGTGTCATTTACACAAATTTGTTGTGAAACAGAAGACTTTAAAAACCAAAACTCCTTCAGACTTCCCATTTAATGATAAAGAATAATCTGCACCTTTAAGCAAGTCTTCTGATATTTACCAAGATGACATTTGGCTAGATTATCTTTCATTGTGTATGACGCATGCCAACCTATGTCTGACATACTGACGTTGCATCTTCCACTTGCTAAGAACACCTCTGACCATCACCATGACCCTATATTGACTTCTTTATTTCTTCACCAAGTAGCTCTAAAGTGGAGAGGAATGTTTTGAGGCTTCCCTTTTGCAATTGTGCAAAATTTTCCTATGATTGCTTTTTTACCAGATTTTCCAGTAATGTAAATGTGCTTATTATTTTTCCTTAGATCGAGCCAGTGTTTGCCAGGCAGCTTTATTACTTCACTCAACAGAACAGTGGACATTTGCTTAGAGGGTTTGAAATACCTGATCATGTGAACAGTCCAGAGGATTATCACAGATCTATTCGACATTCAATCCAAGACTAAAATTATGAAGACAAATAATTGTCATTGTGCCAATCATACTTAAAATCCAGCAATTCTTGTTCTGGAATGCCGTTACCTGCGTCACACTGCAAACAACATGGACATCAGAAGTAATTGAATCTACTGCTGCAGGCTGTGACATGATACTGCCCTGACAATGTTACATTGTGAGCAATGAGTTATTGTGACAAACGGACTCCTAATTGATGATTGCATTGGCCATGTCCAGGAATGAAGACAGATGAATTTGCCAGCTTTTCATTGGAGCACTGCTTGTTGTGTAATCCAATGTTTTTTTAAAAATGTAGTTTATTGTATTTATTTTAATGTTCAACATTCTCAGGGAAATTTTTTTACATCACAGATGTAAAAGTAAGTTCTGGGATATAATATCCTGTAAGGTTATGCATTTTATTCTTTTTATAAATAGTCATTTGTTAATTTTTTTTAAGCTGTTAAACAGTTATTTTTGTTTTATTAAAATATGAAGTCCAACTTCCAAAAGACAATTTAGTAGGTGTTATTTTCATTGTTACGCATGTGTCAAATTTATTATCGTGAAAATGAATATTGTTTGAAAATAACTTTGGCAAAGTTTCTTTAAATACCAAAGAAAAGCAATTCTATGAGAAACAACCCACAACAAAAATCAGTGACATAATATAACAACTGGTTAGACAGTAATTAAAATTAGCATCAGACCAGTACTGAGGCTTCCTGTTTTCATGTTAGTCAAATGACTTTTTTTTAAATCCAATGTTTACTAGCTGTAACTAAGCCAGTGGAGCAATTCCGGATATGAGATACAGAATCAGCTTCTTCCTGGTGCAGGCTGCTCAGTCACAAAAGGAACTTATCATGATAAACTATTGCACTTTTTTTTCATGCTATATGTAATGTAAATGAGCGTAATTGTGTCAAAAGTGCACTCACCTTTGGTGATGTACTTCGGCCACAATTGCTTTCTTTGAGCTGTTAAGAGCAAGAAATTGGGTTAACTTAAACTGTGTGACCATTTAACAAAAATGATTTGAGTTCCTTCTGTTGATTTCAACTTATGTTTGATTACAATAGAAAGGTTTACCTCCTACATTGAGTGAGAGTTAACAGTTCATCTTCAACTATTTTCTCTTTAAATGAGGTAGACTGTTATTGTAGAGCACAATTTATAATATTGCTTCAGATAGCACTGAAATCAAAGTTGCCAAAAAGGGACTAATAAAGGCTAATCTGGTGCCCACTTGCAAGTTTAGGCACTAAATTATTTTCCAGCTTAAGTTGCTGAATGTGTGTGCGGGAAGGGCATTTAGGACCTGGGTGAACAGGATATTAATGTGACTGCAAGATTTGTGAAGTTAACAGTGCATTGACTAAGAAGGAAGTGTAAATTAAAGACAGTAAATTCAGGAATATAAAGACATGAGTGAAGGATTGAATTGAGAGACAAAAAGCTAAGGCCAAAGAAAGCTTAAAATAAATGAGACTCTTTGTTTTTTTTTAAAATTGGCAAACTAATCTGCTCAGATATTTTAGATCACAAGGGATTTTAAACTAAACCTTCTAATCCAAATGTAGGGAATGCACAACTTCATTACAAAATCTTCTTCATTATTTTTGAGTTATTAATTTTCAGTAACAGAAATGTTACTTTTGGCTTTGCTTAATGAATCACATTATTAGAAGGGTACATAGATTGATTTGGGCAACACATTTTTCTGCAGTGAATTTGTCAAATGTGTAAAAATAGTCATGTCACACTATTCAACACATTTAGAATGTGAGCCAGATAGCAAGATGCCATTTTTTTGCGAAGCACTTCCAACGGCTGTTTTTCAGTCTAATTATGCACCTATCCCTTATCTGAATTAGCTGAACTATTAATAGATATGTATCGAGGAACATCACTATCCTTACCATTATCTTGATATGAAAACCTGTTGTGTAATAGGTGTGGTTACGCCTACAGTGTTTACTATTTAACTGAGATAAACAAAAGCGTTTTTGAGAAGAGACAGCAGTTTTGTAGCAAGGAACTGGAAAATCACAGTCAATGTCTAATGTGTTGTAGCAGAACACATTTGGTCCAGTAAGTGGATTGGTGTTTACTAATACCACCAAAAGCATTTTAACCAAAGTAAAAGATATGATTTTAAACTAGCTAGTTAATACTAAAAAGGCCTTAATTGTATATTGAATAATGGCCTTGCACGTATATTGAACAATTTGCCAATTAGCTACAGCGAGTGATGTTAGTGCCCTAATGTGGAATGGAAAATCTTAGGCTGCTTAAGAACAATAATAATTGTCTGATAAAAATCATCTTTCCTTCTACTACAGTATAAAATGTACACAATAAGATACTATTGCTGAATCTGCCAACTTTGTATAAATTGGAAATTAAGGTTAAACAATACAGCATTGTTTTTATTTTGATGGACTGGTCTGATCCTATACAGACTATATAATTGAAGTCTGCTTCAGGGACCATAAACGTTCGTTCTATGATAACGTTACATTGCAGAAACAGACAGTCATGAATGTGATGATGTTAAAGAGGGATTTGTATACGTGGCATCTTTGGTGTGTTCTCTTGTTTATATTGGTTCAGGTCTACTGACCAATTTGGTAATTTCTATCATTATATTTGCACATACAACTGATAGCTAAAGTCTAATGGCATTTATTTTCCCATCTCACACCCTAAGTCAGGGTCAAGTATTCAGAATGCAGACAATGGCAGTGAAACTTGGAGTAAAATCATCAAACCTTTGCGCAGTATGTTTTGTAACTTGGCATAAACTATAAAATGCATGACTGTTCTGCATTAGAATGCACTCAAAAAGGGAGTGAACAACTAACTAATTCCACATGGAGCTGAAGTAGGAAGGAAACAAAATTAGTAGTCTGAGGTCTAAATAAAGGCTTGTATAGTGGAGTGAGCTGGATGGCTTGAACTATCTTATTCTTCCATTATTTTTGGTGCTACTGGCACTTTCAGTATTATGGCAAGTTAATTACATATGCAAGCTAGAAATGCTTGATGTCAGTGCACCTTTGAAATATTAACTGATGCAGCGGGAGATGAAGTATTGATCTATCCATTGAACTGCCAGCCCTTGGTTTAATTACACCATTGCAATACACTGGGTGTAGATTTAAAATAAGGTATAATTATTATTATGATAGTTCAATTATTTATTCTTCCCTGTAGTTGAATTAATTAAGAAATTCATATTTCCTAATATTTAATGAGCTGTTTATTATATTCGGAACGTTAAGACATTCTAGAGTTCAAAACTCATCTCAGGCACTATCACAATATGTAGTTTTGGATTACCTGCCCATTCTCTGTGGAGTCTTATACTTATTTTATGGATTACAATGAAGGCAATTATCAAGCACTTCCTATAACAGACAGATAATCAAAAATTGCTTGTTTTGTGCCACTACCCGAGACACAGTATTTGGAAAAAAATAATATTGTTCTGATTTACTCTTTCAAACTGACTGCGATTAAAAATAACTATTATTATAAATAAAATCTATTAGAACTATCAAGTACTGTGGCACATCTATGATCTTTTAAACAAAGAACCAGACCCTTTATTTGTTGAATGAAGGACAAGTAGAATTTACATTTAATGATTGGCCCTCACATGATGTAATTCTAAAGGCGGGCAGTTTTTGTACAATTATACACAGATAATAGAAATTTGCTTCCCTTATTGTTGAGCAACAGGATAACGATAGTGAAGACGAAACTGTTTATTTAACTGTTTGTGTACTTTCTTGTGTTGTATAATTTTATATGTGGAATAATTGAGAATGAACAAACTTGCTACTACAATTTGTTGTTCTTTCCAAATCTTTCCTTTTTCAGAATGGAAATTTGAATTGGCTCCCTAATCACAGTGAATTGCTGCAATTTACGATAAACCTGTAGCCACAAATGTTAATATACCACAAGGGTAAATTTCAGCATAGAGGAAAACAATCTTTAACAACCTGATTCTCAGAGATGATGTTTACATCATTACGTGTAGGAGCGCGTGGAGGTGGGGAAACACCAAACACATCCTGTACGCACAACAGACAGAGCTGCTTCCACCATTCACAAAATTGGTAGCTGTAATATTGCTTTTATAGCAGGTCCCAGTCTCCACATCCGACACCAACCAGGTTTGTTTTGTAGCTGTGCTTTTTTAAAATATTTTGTTGAATTGACATGGGGACTTTTCTGGGTGGCTTCAGTTTTTTTTCTTCACTTGCAGAGCCTTAACCACTGTACATCCTCTTGAAGTGAGCACCCTGCTTTGCAATCAAGAAGGCTGGGTCTTTGTTTCATCTTGAATGGTTTTATAATTTTTTTTGTGTTCAAAGAATTTTACATTTTACAGTGAGACATGTTTGAACTGTATGTAGGAAGGAAACCAACTTAAGTCAGCTGAGTAGTTAACGCTTGTTTCTACTCAGCTACATCTCATTGCAAATTCATATGGTGTCTTGAATGGCTTACTCCTCCTAAAGTGCACAGAAATAGCTCAACCACTGTCAGAAAGGAGTCAGTTAGCATTAACTTACTCTAATGGACTTCATCATTAAAGGTCCCAGAGGGAAAGCCAGGCCCAGTTTGGGTTCTGAACACTATAGAGTGACCTAGTTTTGCTTGAAAGGGTGTATGTCACAGACAGGATCATATGCAGCTCTTATGCAATGAAGAGACAGTCAACATTCACTGTTTCGGCTGACAAGGAAAGAATAGTCACTTGAGCAATGTACAATTCTCATGTGTCAGCCCTTCAGGGGAAAGGGGAGAAAATTGGGAAGAAGACTGATACTGGTTTGAGACAGACAATGTCCTTTTTTCACACAGTTCTTTGTTGATCAAATCCATTCAGTATTGGCTATCTACCCTTCTTTTACTTCATGAGAAATGCATTCAAATTGATATTTAGTTCTTAGATGGGAGGCTAAAGCCCCAATTTTCCACTTTTTTCACCTTTCTCTCTTTTAGAATTTCTTCATCATTCAATGATTTCTGTACAATATCTGCAGCCATGAGAAGCCTGCCCTGAACTGTCTGAGCATATACACTCGAGGTATCTTCTGGGAAGATATATCTATATTCTATATCTATATTCTATAACCTAAATCTATATAATGTTTGTGTAGATGCTGCAAAGTGAAGATGGTGTGACTGGTATTCCAAAGGAAAGATGTCACATGAAACAGATATATTCTTCAACCAAGCTCTTATGTGATCTTGGGCAGAACTGTACTATCCATTGTTGCAACTGTTTGTTGGACAGTTGGGAATATCCCAACCAGCATTTTATGTTTTGAACATCCACAGAACTCACCTTAGGCATCAGGTAGTTCCAGCAATGTGGTGTTGCTCCTGCTAGGTCAATCATTGCACAGTTTCAAATGCTGAGGTATGGAAGGGAGGGAAGAAGGCAAATCTTCACTGAATAGAATGAAGAATGTGTAGGTGACTGTGAAGTGA